CGCTGGATAAGTGCACTGCTTTTGTATTAAGAACAAGGTGCGTGGCCTTTGTAGGTGCACCAGGGACTATCACTCATCTGTGGGATTTTGACTAAAAGCATCTGCAAGTCCAGATATCTGGGACTGCTCTGTCAGTACTGGCCGCAGTCGCATCATGAGTCCACGCATAATGTATAGGGCCTAGGTTTATGGATCAGTCACATCAGCGCGAGCGATCGAGTCTAGCCCACGCGCCAAGCCGCCATCAGCGCCGTAAAACGCGGCGCGTATACCTTTCCAGGGCGCTGGCTTGTTGCCCGTGAGGTCTGATACCCTTGCGGCTGAATATTAAAACCAGGGATTTGGCCTCTTATGCACGCCGGCCGATCGACTTTTTAGCGGAAGGACTCGAGCCGCGAGATAAGTTCAGCGACGGAGATGGGAACGTATCATCAGCAGGCTTTTTATTTTATTAAGACCCCGGGAGCAGCGGTGGTGGTGGGGGGGGGGAATAATGTTATTCGCGATGGGCTGATGGATCGGAGGGACGGCGTAGATTGGCCGACTCTGAGCTCATCTTCACTTGGGATCGGAACTGGAAATGCATGTATCAGATGAATGAGGTTGAGATGCGAGTGCTTGCTTTGGCGTGTTTGCTCATAGCGGTTGAACAAGGAAAGCCAGTGTCAACAGGAACCTTGTTGGACTCGGTAGATTCAAGTATCGGTGTCCAGTCGGGAAAAGATGGAGAGTTTAATGTCCAAAATGGTTAATACTGGTTCCTGGACAATTGTAAATGCTCGATAGTTTGGCAGCGGGTAAAGCGGGCGTCACTAATCACCCAAAGCGGGTATTCAGTATGCACACTGCACAATAGACCTCCGCTGAACGCTAATCTTGGTACCATTGTGTATAAAAACCCTCAGCTTTGGAATCATTGCTTTAAGATGCTCACGAAACAAACATTTCATGTCTATGTTCACTTCCAATTCCAATAGTGTCCTTCGAAGGCCGATGAATGAAATTTTCTTGTGTCACTGATGTCATCTTGAGGAAGAGCGTTGGTGTAGCAGCATATGATCAAATACATACCAAATTCTTAATATCCCTTCCCCAGGACTTAACCATTTTTGTTTTGTAAATGTTCAAGTTGCAAAGTATCAAATAGACATATGTCCATAAAAAAACAACAGATTGGCCCTTAAGATTATGCCGACTATTTGATTTGCATTATCGTTTAAAATGCGTCCACACATTGCCATGATGAGGTCTGGAGGCCGTGAGACTCACCTGCAATTTGAAAATTGGTTAACTGACTCAGGCTTGGCGTCAGGGAACAAGCCAAAAATAGCCTGGCCGCGATGCAGATTATGTCTAAACAATACGTAGACAGGTAGCAATTATTGTTGGTGCCTTCGACACAGATTCACCCAGCACTCGCGGTACCAGACTGTTACGGCGCTTCTCCTCCCCTTGCCTTGCCACGGGCAAGGGAATCAGATTGTCTTCACCTCGCTATCTGCTCGCCGTATACATTACTGGAAGAGCTGGCTATCATCCAATGCGCCATCTTCCGTGTACATATCCTTCCCTGGGTTGGGGGATGATGCGGGGAGTTTTTTCTTCACCTGCGAAAGCCGGGATACAATCTTTGGACATCGGTTGGCGTGCTAATCTCAAAGCCTGTGTCTGAGAATCTGTTTCAAAGGACATTGAGACAGAATGAAATGTTCGGCACTGTCGATTCGAAAAATTAACAATGAGTTCCGTTAATGAATAACTTGCACGGGAGACCATTTCAATGAACTGGCGAGGTTTTAATTGTTTTAAAATCTCGTTAAACAAAAGATGCACCGGGTTTTTTTTACATAGTACATGATGCACATCACGGTGGAAACCATTATTGACTGTGCAGCCCTACGCGCAAAACGCATGTGCGAACAAGTGCGCGCAAGTTACGTATCTTTCAGTGGTTTAGTGAAGGTAGCGTGACACCTTCAGTTCCTGCACGCGGTCGTCAGGGGTTGCGTAGTTTCCTTAAGTTGGCAATGGTAGGAAACCTTCGTATTGAACCGTTCTATAATTACTTTACCAAGCCCATCACGACAGTATAAGGGAAAAATTGTGAACTGACCGATAAAAATACTTCTACGTGATGCTTGATCGTCATTTACGGTTATCTCGCTTTTCACTCGAATGGGGAGGCATCTCGTTATGACATCGTTCAAAGTGAAAGTGCTTCGTTACTTCACAACCCCTACTACCTGTACTGAACTAGTGACCAGCGAAACTAGGCAGAGCTTACGCCTGTTGCTTGCCATGAAGTTTCAGAAAGGTCACTGTATTTACGAACTGATTATCTCGGAAAGGTCTCCGTTGTTTCATAACCAATTATAAGTGGTTTCATTGTTTAGACGCTTACCAACTACTTTCAACTTCCTGGTACGGTGGTTCTGTGAACTTGACGAGCATGTGCTGATCGACGCGGCCTTTAAGAATCGGTTACAGTGCGCCGAGCACGCCCTGTCGCATTTAAACAGGCACACATGCACGTAATATCCCACTCGTAAAAGTCACCGGATGGGAAATCAACAGCCGAAACATATACTGCGGCGCAGCGTGACCCGAGTGCACTTCTGAAACCGTTTTTCTACGATCGTGATTGGAATGGTTTTCGAATAATTAACGACACTGGTATCCACGCACTGATCGATGGTTTCCCTTATCGCACGAGACGCGGACTTTGCAAGTAGTAATTTAATCAGACCGATTCTCAACGTTTTAACGATGGTGGTTAATTGGTTGTAAGAATCTTGTAAGAGAGAATCGTATTTTCCGAAAAGAGATTTTGAGGGATAGAGGAAAGATACCTGTAATCGCATGTTGTCTCGCTCAACGGATTTCATTTATTTATTTTGCAGGATTAAAATAAAAAAAATTTACACAGTTTACAAAATTTTTCAAGAAATGTAGGCTCAAAAATATGGTTTTAATTAAGAATCTACACCATTGAAAAAAACCCAAACAAACACACACAAAATACAGCAACACACAAACTTAGAAACAGCAGCACAAGCAACAACACCACACCCACAAAGACACAAAACACATGTAACACCGCTGCAGGATTGCAAAAAAGCAAACTTAATTACTATCGAGTTGCTCTCCTGGTGCTAACTGTTCGTTTCATTCTTTGCAACAAAGCAGTACTCATTCAGCACAGCAGCTAGGAAAAGGAAAACATATAAAAGGTCCGCTTCTGCCCGTCGTTAATTCGGGCGATTCACAATAGTGTGCCTCCAATAGTTTGCAGCGCGTTGGCCAATCACAACGTGCGAAATCTTTCGACCCTTTCCAGACACGCATTTGGTCTACACATTTCGCGCACCGTGATTGGCCAACGCGTTGCAAACTCTTGGAGGCTCATTATTGTGAAATGCCCGTATTCTTTCTAGAGCGGCTGTTGAAACCGTCTTCTCTGGGCTCTCATTGCGTAGACTTTCTGAGCTGGTGACATGGGGTCAACACTTCCGTGTACACACAACTCGTGCGCATGGAATGCACGTGCACGACTCATGCCGACATAAGATATCCACAACAATTAGCGTTTCCTCGGCAAACGATGTTATGAAGGATTTTAACGCCCTTCGACGATTCGCGCATTATCGAATCAACCAGGAATGTGTCTATTTTTTAAACTATTTCTGCTTTGGATGCCCAGTCTCCCCACAATAGACCATACGCAGTTATAAAATGGTTGGTGTAAATTCTAACATCAAGTTTTAGCTGGTGGTTGCATTTCCTGAAAAAAAAAACACAGAGAGACAGTTCAGATGTAAAGGAACTAATAACATTCTGATCATTGGGTAGATAAAAAATACATGTAGTGTATAGTATTCAGAAATTGGGTAAGATGGTGCCGCAGCGGAACTCCCATTACGAGTACATCAAGCCTGTAGGCCTACAGTATCCAGAAACCCTTCATGTGAACGGCACGTATGTTTATTGTACGTCGTAAATTCTAGTTGCAGCCAATAAAAGAGCTTCAGGCCAAGATCGAACGAACCTGAAAAGACGGTAAATCAAAGACAACTTTTATGAAGAAATTGTCCGTGGGTATAGGGCTGGGTAAAACTCAGCTTTTCTAGAAACTCGGGACCGGAATCTGCGATATCTGGGCGATAATCCGCCTGACCTATGTGAAACCCCGGGGCACACATTACGGTGACAAGTGTTGGTGGATGTACACCGATAAGGGGAGAGGGTAAGGGCTGAGGGGTTTTGTTAGAAAACTTTCCACCATTTTCTTTACGTCAACTCTACGAAAGTGTATTATAAATCAGTACTATGTACATGTGCGTTAGTTGTTTCGGGCATGGGTATGTTCGGTATCACACTTTCAAAGTTTGTATAGTTATCTTTGTGGGTATCAACATTAAAAATAGCGTAGACTACAGAAAGCCACCAAATCGTTACTTCGTTTCTCTTGAACTACGTACAGGGCAGCGTTTGAAAGATCGTATCAGGCCACTGGACCATCGAGTTTGAGGACTCCCAATTCCCAAATAAGCTGTCCTTGTTAGAAAGTATAGCATAGGCCTTACCAGTTCAAAATACAAATTATAGTTGTAGGTATGGAATGGGGTATGCTTGTTATATGCATGTATAAATTTCTATTTTGGTACCCATCCTGCACGAGTTTTCTTTGTTATGTACAGTTATGGACGATTGTATTCTCGGTGGCGTCATTTCTCAAGAGCTTCCTTTTTGCTGTCTTGTTAGATGTTTCCCTCCAAGAGTCGATCCCTGACACAACTGTTAGTCAGAATTGCGCCCTTCTTTTCGCGTCACGGTGACCGTCATCGGAAATGCAGCTGTGTGGGGACTGAGCAGTGTGCCCGTAACCCACACGTGCCCGTACATACATGTACAGTACATGTATGCATTCTGTATAAACTGGCTCGGTCTGATTATGACACGCCAACCGCATGTGCGCCACTGCTATCACAGTACTGTTGTTGTACCTGACTGGCCGTGTTTGAAGCGCAGCCGAGGTTTTCTGGGCCCCCTACGCTTCAGGTTATTTCGTTCATTACATGCTCGGCTAACTTGGTAGTGCGCACGATACTGGGGCCGCGCAGGAGCATATTGGCTCAGTGGTACGACTACGGCTGAAAACACGAGATCAGCCGAAGGAAAAAGCCACACACAGCCGTGTGTAAGAATATTGAGTGAGTGATACCCATGTTGGCCATCGAGCCGTCTGCACCGTGGCGATACGAAGGAAATATATGATTTATTGTGCACTGTAGAGAAGACGATCAGAGTGTGTGTACTACTGCCATAGACGCGGCGGCATTCGAACTGCACTTTAGAATTTCAAGTCTCGTGCTTGTGACAGATAGCGCTTTGTTTACATCGATTACCATCAGGAGAACAATTGATCAATGCCCGTTTGCTGAAGGTCGTCAACTGCAGCTGGGCTGCGAGATTACAGTTGTATTTATCTATGGCGAGGCAGTGGGAAGCACTGAATAGCCGTACGGCGTGAACGTGTAAATACCATTGGTCACCGCCTATTGCCATGCAAATCAGGCTGTGTCACCGTTAAAGTCTGCTCGCCCTGTGTGCCACGCGGGTACCCATTGATCGGCCGTGGTCTGCTGATGATGAGGATGGTGATATTAATAATACCCCTTTGTTTGACATGGAGACTGGCAGTCGAGCGAATCACTCGTTGGATCTTCCCTGAAGTGTCAGTGTCGAGCAGTGTGCAGAGCTTGCCGCTCTGATGGGGGAAATTTTCGTCTTAAAAACCGACTGCGATGTTTCTCAGCTCTCACATGCACGGGGGCTCACTTCAAGGGTTCACCCATTGAGAAAGCATGTGTGTTGTGTTGTGTTCTGAGCTCTGCCAGACCCGTGTTCCACCTGCGCGGGACACTTACCGAGGTGTTCACAATCATGTTCTGGGCTCCGTCAGTTAGTGGGTTATGACGACTTGATAAACCAGCCGTAAGCTGAAAACCGGATTGGAATTATACGGGATTTGCGGAGTATAGAATGAAGCTGAAGCAGAGAGCTCTAGCTATCATGGTGGGCACCACCATCAGCATGGCTTTGGTCCTAATGATCCTGACGGTGGACCTGCACCCTGTGTCCACTTTCTACCAAGGGGCGAAGGTGCAGTCGGTCCAGGGAGGCCCCGTGGTGGTGGAGACGGGTCACGGGCGGGACGGCGGGGAGGATCACCCCGTGCACCTCCGGCGCCAACTTGGCAAGAGCGCCTCCCGCTCGGGAGGCAAGGCGGCCAACCTGACAGTGGTCCGCCATACGCACGACCTGGACTCCCTATCCGACACGGCTGTGCAGCACGAGCACAGCAAGGAGGCCGCCTACAGAAAGACCAACTCGAGAACTAGTCCCGACGGGGCTGCCAAGCCCAACAACCTACGGACGCGGAGGACTAGACCCAAGGGTTTTCCGGACGAAGGAAACTTCTACAACTCAGACCACAAGTGGCTGAGGACCCAGCCTGAACATATCAAGCCCAATACTGGGAAATATGACAAACTCATGTCGCTGCCTTCTGCTACGAGTGTGCCCTCAAACGCTGACAAACTTGTACGACCAAAGAAAACAAAAGGGTGAGTATCTTCCAACAGAAAAAAATACAGTTCACGCCGTCATGTAGTGGTGTAACCAGTGGGGGGGGGAGGGAGTTGGTTCTGAGAGATGCCATCTTTTGAGGAATTGAAGGCGAAACGGTTTACCACTTTTCAGGGGGCAGGGGGTAGTGAGGAAAGAGTCTCGCATCCTGCCTCCACTTTTTTCATCATGCATCATCTCCGTAAAGGTTAGTCATTTGTAGAAATGTTTGAAAAGACTTGAACCGAGGACCGGGAAAAAACATCCAATTTTGTTGGGAAACTCTGCTGAAGTGGAGTCAGGATGCAACATTATCCCCGCATCGTAGAATGTCTAAGGATTAAAAAAAATGTACGGCCGTTTTTAGAAAAGTAAAATCCATTTGGCCTTCTGGGCCCAAAACCTGGATACGCCACTGCTGTCGTGTTTGAGTTAGACATAAAGTCTGCACACACTTTTTTATTTGATTCCACACGGCTTTACGCACTCTTGTTCTGCCATCTCATCTCTGTTGTGTTTATTTAGAGTGCAAAACTGTTTAAGTGTCTGCTGCAAACTGCATTTTGAACTTATGAGGTAGGTTAAACTATTGGTATGTTTAGAAGTCTCCTTAGAACTGTTTTTCTAAGGGGAATATGTGTTATTTTCAAATCTTTCGTGTGTATTTTGTCGCAAGCGCTCTTCACGAAATGCGCTTAAATGGCTTTCCTTCTTGCAGATGTACTGTCCATGCATTGACCTATTTTACGTGTTTTAATTCCATGGAAGGAATTGAAAACACACAAAACCGTTCAATGTTGGCATTGAGAGATTGCCACGCATTTCCTGTTTTAGCACATCGCCGCGTTTTTTTCACGTGAAATGCATCGTAGTGACATTTATGGGATTAAATCTACGGATGCAGAAATCGGTGCATCCGGGATGTGAAAGTGCCTGCTATGCACTGTCCATTGCAGTGATTATTATAAGAACAGATGGTCGGACATTTAATTACAGAAAAAAACAAAGCTTCAATCAGCTGTATGATGCGCAAATGTTACATCCTTTAATACTTTGGCAATAAGCCGATTTAATGTTAGGCTTACATTATCAGCTTCACGATGACCGATATCTCAAAGAACCGACAACTTCGTGTTGTAAATAACATCGAGGAAAACTTACATTATAACCAATAGTTTGAACTCCTTTGCGCATTCTTCTAAATGTCTTGTATTGTTGATTGAACTTCCAAGATTTATAAATATAAATTTACTCCCAAATGTAACAAAATGTATGCCGCAGTAACAGCTGCCATATTGGATTGCAGACAGTACCTCTGACTGGCTCCGAAATGTCGCCAATTTAAAAACAAAACGAGGTGTGAACATTGATACGTCGATGTACCCACAAGTTAACACCGCATGAGCTGCACCAACCCTTCTGTACTGATCCAACCGGCTATCTGCTCCCTCCATAACCAACTCTAATAAGCCCTGGAGGTCGATCGCGTCCTTTCAGTGGAATTCCGTCTTTTCATAATGATTGCCCGTTGATGAGCATTATGTGCCGAGGACAGTTTTCCCCCTTGCATCTCGTGCACCCAATTTATTGTTCCTCACCAATCGTCAGACTCCGACGAAGCCTTAAATAATGCATACTTGCATTAGGAATGCAGCTGGGGAGATGGCGGCAGTACAAACCGGCTCCGAGGATGCGTAACGCAATTGTTACAGGCAATTAAAGCCTTGTCCTTCTTCTGTCTACATGGTGAATAAATAGCATTTTCAACCAGAGCTTGCGGTAGCCCGTGCATAAGCAGAGGCCATTCGATTCCTTTTGATTGAGTGCGTGTGCAGTGATCGATTTCATATTTTCGAATACGTTTTGTTTCCATACCCACTGACCGTGAGTTCACAAAACATAATTTGTCAAAGAGCTGGTTGTCGTCGACCGAAGATGTCACTTGACCATGATTGAGGCCACCGGGTCTCTCTCGGTCATACATGCGTTGGCAGTTTCTATTCTTTGCTATGATACATGCGCAATGTTCTCATGACTCTGTATAGCTGAATACGGACTTGTATGCAGACCAGGCATTTTGAAATCAAAGACAAAAATATGCCTTGGAGGACTTACAGCACATTCAGCTCTGCTAGGCAAGGTGTGTTTGAAGGTGTTAAAATGCTTCAGTCACTCTGGTATGCGCTCTCTCTGAAAACCCCCGAAATTCGTGATAAGACAGCAGACATGTCAGGTACTCGTGCGCTATAAATGGAAATGTCTCATTTTGTACTAAGTCTTCAGCAAGGCGGTTTGAATCAAATTGGGTGTGTTCCCTTGAATTCCCCTACGGCCCTGTGCCGCGCCCTTTTACATCAAACTCCGTCAAGCGAAGTTCAAAAGCGTGTCATTTTTTGCCACACTGCTAACTGCGGCGGGAACTGCCTCCGTCATTGGAAGAGTCGCGCTGAGCTGTAGCGGTGCGCTATAGTCCCCCCCCCGCAACTTGGCCCAAGGGATCTTTTTTGACCATTATTGTGCATTTGCATCATCGCTCGACCTTTCGACAAAAACTGCCCAATTGTAACCACAGACTGCATGCTATAACCGTAGAGCTACATAAATATAGAGCTAGGAACACACGATAACAAGTTCCAGACCTCCCATCTGTAGCTTTCAACCTAGATCCCATAGCCTGCAACATCAGCAGCCCAGACGACTGTTGATAAGATCATTTGCCGTGACCTCGGCAAGGGTCATTACTGTCACAACTTCCAAAGGTACGTCCGGAAAGGGGATCTTAAAGGGAACATCCGGACTTTGAAAATTCAACACATGCATGGCTGCCCTGTGAGTGTGCAGATGTTTTCCTTGTGCGACCATGTGCATATGCATTTGTATTTTCACAGACCCACGCGTGAACATTTCTTGAAGTACCCACGGTCCCACGTAGACTTAATGCAGTGATGTTAATTTGACTAAGAGAGCTACGAGCATATCAGTTAACCCCCTTCAAAAGTAGGAAGAGCCAATTTGCCGTGACATTCAATTACACTACGAACACAACTACATGTGCATGAACACGTAGAAGTTTTTATTAAAGTCAGTAAAACGCCTTGGTGAAACTAAAGTACTCTGGTAAAAAGTAATTAGTTTGAGTATGACGGTTTGTAATGGGAGACGGGACAAAATAAAGAAATGCATTTTTAGCAGGAATGCAAAGTCTACATCACTATCCATTTAACGTATGAAATATCACTGGCTGTTAGAGTCGCAATCTTTGAAGTTCAATCATCGGCAGCCGCAGACTTGGTGTATCTTGTACGTTGCGTCCGGATGTGCAGATGCTTACGCTCGGTCTAGTCGGGCAGATAGCGTGAGTCACTCTCGATGGCATTATTGACGTCAACCCAGGCCCAGTCTCCAACCATCTCAATCGGTTCTGTGTGCACAAAAAGTTTTAACGGGAGACTTTTTTCACCGCAAAGGAAGAATTGTGTTGTTTTGTAGTGCCATAATTAGGCATTTCAATAAATGAAATAATGCGTTCCATTGTGGGATTTGTATAAAGCTCTCCTTTTTCATTTTCAAAAAGCCACATAATGAGCTGCAAATCTACTGAACAGGCAAAGTTTTCTTCTGGCTGATTGAATATACAAATTAAAAATATGTTTGTGTCTGCGTGAATATATGACTTTTTCAGAATTTTAAACATATCTCCAACGCTAAACAAAAGGAAGCTGGAGGAAGTCTTGCAGCTGTTTGAACCTAATACTTTTGACAGAGTAGTTGAAATTACCACCCATAGATTGTATGATAATGATACAGTCGATGCTAAATTCAACCCACGTGGCTTTCCTCTATTAATGCCTGCTTGCTTGTCTCTCTGTGTATGATCCAAAATGCCAGCAGAAGTTCGTCTTTCATGAGAAATTCTCTCAGCCTCAAGAATGATTTATCAGTGAAATATGTTTTCATGCACATCAGGTATCTTTTCATGCACACACGTTGACATAAACTTGGAAAAGGTAGTTCCCGCATATGTTTCACACGGACCTCTGCCAAGTACCAGGCAAGTTTATCTTCACACCCTCCATTTTCTCAACCGGAGTTCAACGATCACATTTCGGATTGACTTCATTGCAAAGTTAATTGCACTAGGCAAAGATAACCGGACTGTCCTTTGATATTGGGGTCACATAAAAGTACGAAGTGCCCTGTTTTTAGTATCCAGCCTTAAGTCCGTGAATTTGAAAGGATAACCAGAGTATACTTTGTCCTCACCGGCTGTAAACATAGAACATGTTTATTTTACAGTTATCATGGGTTGTCATCGTTTAGTATCGTTTAGTATCCTGAAACGATTATGCAGTTGAAGGTTGTACTCTACCATTTTGTTTGTGCGCCTTTAAATACTCAAACCTATCCATAATAATGTCATAACAATCAGTTTTGAGCGTGAAAGGAATGCCTATTGTCACCGTGAAAAGTGGCAGTTCACGTTAAAAAAATTGTTGTGTGGTCAATAAAACGATTATAATACATTTATTCAATCAGATCTTCCATCATCGATGCAAAGCATCAGTGTATTTACACAGTAGAATGGTCTCATGACACGGAATGTACGTGTATGCGCATAATATTTTGCTGTTGATTTTTTAAACTCTGATTTTGGGAAAGTATTCTGATATCCATCAAGTTGTTTCAGAATTTGAAGATCAATGTAGTCCTGCCTTCCCATGATTATGTGTGCCATGGTGAAACACTTTTTCTAAAATATACATTACATGTCCATTCTTCTTGTCTGTGGTATTCATATGTCCCAGTGAGTTCAGGAATCGGTGGTGTTACCTGACCAACTGTAACGCACTGTATGTGCCTTAACCCATGGGGAAGGCATTCAAATCAACAGAATAAACAAGCACACGCTCATTCACAAACAAACAGCACCTCCCACCAAAATAGTGCCCCAGGAGGTCTTTCTATTCTGCGACTCAGTTTTCATTTGCACCTATTTACC